AAAAGAAGGAACTGAAGGCAGGAGAGTAGCGCACACAAACGAGTCAACGCGATCAATCCAGGATTCTGCTGTCAAAGCAAGTTTGGTAGGATTAAGATTTCCCTGTGAAAGGAGGGGATGACGGGATGCTTATAAATGCTGTGCGAGGCGATTGCTTCGAAATTTCGTGACTAAGAAATGCAACATCCTTGGGAATTATGCACGACCTCTTTGCAAAACTTAAGCTTTCTCGAACATCCTGTGCAGCTGTTCTCCCTCTCCCCCCCCCTCACCTACTCCAACTTCACGACCCAATTAAGATTTTAGGTCCCTGAATTCCCAAGTTAATCTCACAGTCAGATTTCTGGGTAAACTACTTACCCATGAATTTGTACCACTTCGTCCGAATCGTATGAATTTCGCTCCACCTCCACGTCCAAATCGAATGAATTTTGGAGCTCGAACGACTCGCTGCAGCTCGTACATATCATCACTGGAATAAATTTTTCATCATATAATGAAAAGGAATTTAATTTTGAATGACGCTGAAGCTGAGAATTCCCATATTCTTAGAGGGGATGCCTTTGAGTGCGAAAAACGTTAGGAATGGCTTTTAATCTGGAGTTAATGAGCAACAAAAGTGCAAATAAAGAGAATCTTTACCCTAGGTGATTATGCCGCCACGTCAAAGGCGACGCCCTGCTAAAACGGCTTTTTGGGGTGTCTGGTCGGCCTGATAGCATAAAATATCCGGAAGTAGGATCTCATGTGCTCATGGTAGGTCAAATACTCACAGACCCGGTAACTCTACTCATTCGGCCGTTACTTGATGCCCTGTCACACACGGCAATACTTCGCAGTTATTCACTCATATTCATTAGTATTTCACGTTCATTTCGCCCCTTTGCGCGCTAAACCTTCATATGTCCGCCGCGATGTGACTACAATTCATATAAAGCGCAATAAGGCGAAGATTCATGAGGTTTTTTCAGTGAGTGTTAGGAAATCGCAGAAGAATCCCAATCGAAGTCCAAGGAGGTCTCTCTGCTCCTAGCGTGAAGATTGCCCACGAGTTTATTCCCGATTGAACAGGTGAATTGAGGAGTAGGACGTCATTGAAGTAGCGCCTCATTCGCAGCTTTGCACATGTTCGATGGCAGCGGCCATGCACCTGGTACTTTTAAGGCTTACCTCAACTATGGGCTTATGGGTTTTGGGCTTTGAGAGCTTCAGGGTTCACGTGATCTCAAATTGATTTAACTGGTCTCAAATTTTCCTATAAGAGAAAATTTGCTGTATATCACAAGAGCAGAAAACATGGAGGGAATTGGCTCAGTTCTCCACACCACCAGGAATGTACCCTGGACCTGTCAAGCTGAAGACTTCAGGGCGAAGCGGCAATTAATATTTCCTTTGTGGTAGAGCAGTCAAAGACACCTGGAGGAGTTGGGCAAGGAGCCTAGGTATGACGGCCTGCAATATGTTCCAACGCTATTCTGTCTCTGCTTTCTGGGTGTTCTGTTGATGAGATTTCTGTCTTGCTCAATTTCATTTCTATCATAAGGACACAATGGCCCAGGTATGACATGGGGATAGCGTGTCACGAGTCGTGCCACTGACGAGGAAACTTGAGTTGTATCACTGCCACGACGTCACTGACACGTCATCTATCTCATAATAAGGAAGTACTGCGTCCCTGTGCTACTACTAGAATCCGTTGCAATTACGGAGCAATTCTGGTAAGGTTCACCTACTCATTTTCCTCCAGAATTGGAATAACACACCCGAAGAACCTGCTCAGTTGGAGAAGAAGGAGTCAGACTATTTCGGTCTCCATTCCCATGCAAGGAGGGTTACATGTGCGGGAACAAGTTTCAGTAGATTAGGACAGTATCAGGGCTCGATGACGATATTGATGGATCCTTGCAACGTCTGGCCAAGGGTTGTCATGGTGGGCTTCCTATGCCTGGATTGGTGCAGCACCCGTTTTCCTTCTCAATTCGCCCTGCAAGTGTCACGAAAATGACTAGCAATCATCTTTTGGTCACGTCCGAATGTTGTCACCAGCTCCGACCACTGCCAGACGTCATGCGCCATTACCAGGGGTAGCTCTGGAAACCCTCGAACAGCCAGAAGGCCCTCCAATACGAACTCAGCCCTCTTCAGAGGCGTTGAGCGCGGAATCAAAACTATGAAGGGTCTACGAGTCAAAGTTTATGAAAGGAGACCCGTGCAGTTTTTGAATGCTTCTTTTCTGGAAAACACTAACGGCAAGAATTATTCTAGCCCATTATGGTCAAATCGAAAATGATAGTATTCGTTTCGCTGGAATGAGCCCTTTCAAACTATCACATTGAAATTGAGAGAATATAAATCACAACGAAGAAATAGTCGCGCGCGCTCGAACTTTCTCAACCTGATATTAACCTGTCAGGAAGCGTTCACACATTTATTGCCTTTCAAGCCCTCAAAAGAGTAAGCACATCCTGCACATTTATCGCTCAGGCGGGTTCACCTAAGGAAGGAGAGAACTACTGAAACTTGTTCCCGCACATGTAACCCTCCTTGCATGGGAATGGAGACCGAAATAGTCTGACTCCTTCTTCTCCAACTGAGCAGGTTCTTCGGGTGTGTTATTCCAATTCTGGAGGAAAATGAGTAGGTGAACCTTACCAGAATTGCTCCGTAATTGCAACGGATTCTAGTAGTAGCACAGGGACGCAGTACTTCCTTATTATGAGATAGATGAC